CGACTCTTTTTTGATAGACTTAATTTATATTTTTCAAAAACAATTTGTTTGTTTTTAGACTTATTTTGTCAATTTTAAAGACAATAATAAAAAATAAAAACACGAGTTGGCTCGTGGATGGCTCGATTTCGTTCCTGAAACCCACAAAGCCAAACGATCAAGTTGAGCTCGGGTATTTAATGGCCAAGTTGAGCCATTATCACTTCTACTTTCAAGTAAATTTTCTTGCAATGTTATTGATGAATCCAACTCCTTTTGTCAGTTATTGGTATCAAGAACTCTTACAAGGAATGAATATTTCATTTTAAGTTAATGTCATTGGTGAGACTAGATTAATCTGATGTGACTAAAGTAGGATATTTTACTCAAAATAATATAATTTGAATATATTTTGCGTCGACGCCATATTAAGCCTCTGTTTGTTATGGATTAAAATCAAAATTTTAATAAGTTTAATAAAAGTTGATGAAGCGTGTAATTGAAAAATTGTGAATCTTATAAAAAAATGTGATTAAATTTAATTGTTAACTTTAACTTAAATTTTAATCGAAATTTTAATTCACACCACAAGGCTAAATAAAAATTATCATTGCATGGGTATATATACATATTATATCTACAAGTAACTAAGTTTGGTCTCATGTTAATAATATATTTATAAATTCACAAGTTATTATTTATTCACATATATCGAGCATTATGAGTTCATGTTAGACCCTCATTTTATAAAATTCATTTTTAACCACAACTTTTATTAAGTGCCTTTTTGACAACTATTTTGGTAGGAAAAAGAGTTTTAAACAATAATTTTAGGATAATGTGTAGTTAAAAAGTATGATATATTTTTTTTGTATACGTATAAAATATTTTATTGTGTGAATGTGTGGTTGAAAATGGTCGTATAGCAAATCATAAAATAAATTAAAGAGTGCCAAACATGTTCTAACTTTTCAACCATACATTTAATCTATTAATATTAAAACATACTAAAAATATGATTTTTATCTAAATAAAACAGGATGTAAGTAATATCTTCTTATCTATGCTCATGTAGTGGTGGCAACGAGCCGAGCCCGGGCCGGGAAAAAAAAGCTAGAGCCGAGCCTGAGCTATTTTTGACCGAGCTTTTTTGGCCCGAGTCGAGCCGAGCCCGGCA